ATTCCATCTTCCAAGTGAGGACTTTCCTGGCCCCTCCCCATGCTGTGAATGCCATCCCCCTCAAAAAAAATTAGCTCATACTTCTTTTATGCCTATATGTGTATACATTGCTCTCTTGATGGAATCTAAGTTTTATGTGAGCAGGGACCGTTGCATCTTTATCTTTAATGAAGATATTATTATATCTTTATATATTATATATGTATAATATATAACATCTTTATATATATATTTATATATATTATATGTATAATATATATGTGTGTGTATGTGTATATATATATTATATCTTTATATATTATACCCTCCCAGAATATAGCACAGGGCCTGGCATGTGATAATCATCAGCAAGGTTTCTTCTCCATGTCTCAGTTATAGCATCTGTTAAAAAAAAAAAAAGTATTGTACTAACTCTGTGAGTCTTTGACATTCTCATCATCCTCAATCAGCCTCTGAAAAGGAAAAGGGTGGGGAAGAAGAAAGGGGAACAGGGATTTTCTTTTCATTAAACCAGTGGAGAGGTTAAGTGATTTAATTTGAAGCAGCTAGGTTGCCTAGTAGATAGAACATGGGACTTGGAGTCAGAAGACCTGAATTCAAATCCTAAAACTTACTCCGTGTGATCCTTGGCTTAACTGCTTTCACATTCAGTTTCCCTAACTGTCAAATGGAGATAATAATAACACCACCTAACTTACAGGGCTATTGTGAAGACCGATAAAAAATACATGTAAAGCACTTTGTAAAACTTGAGTTGCTATGTAATAATAATGGCTAGAATTCATGCAGTACTTCAAAGTTTGCATTTCATTTGATCCTCACAACAACCCTGAGAGGTAGGTGTTATTATTATCCCTATTTTGCTAATGAGGAAATTGAGGCAGGTGGAGATTAAATGACTTGCCCAGGGTCACACAGCTAGTAAGAGTCTGAGGCTTGAATTTTCCTGACTCTAGGGTCAGAGCTCTGTCCACTATGGCAACTAGCTTTATTACAAATAATTTCTTTGTTTATTTATTTGTTACTAATAATTTAGTAATGTAGTAATTTACTTAATATTTAATATAATATAGCAATTTATTACTAATAAATGTTCAAGTCAATGACAGAGTAGGTGAGAGGTAGAACTCAACTGTCCTACTTTCTTAGTTCTTGTCTGGGGATCTTGTTTTCACTTTTTTCTAAAAATAGCTTTTTAGGTTCTTGGCTCAGAAAAAAAAAAAAAAAAGAAGCCCTGATCTGTAATTAACATCTAATTCCACCTCTGAATACACACACTTCATCTGCCCCTGGAGTGTTGATGGAGAAGACAGTCTGTCCTGGTTCCCCTGGCTTTGGTGCAAAGGAGAGGAGATGAAGGCTTAGGCCCTGAAGTGGGTTCCCTGCCACTGGCCCAGTTTTGTGAAGCTAAGCAGGACCCCAGGCTTCAGGAGATGGAGGTGAAGAAAACTGAGGAAGGCACTGAAATAGCTCGAGCAGCAGTATTAAGAGTCCCTTCTACTCCCCAAGAATTCTGACATTGGTTTCTCCCCGCTCCTCACCCCCCAAGGCACTGTCTTTTTTTTCCCAGTTAGGGAGACTGCTTGGCTCTGAACTGAAAACATTAGCCACTCACAGACCTGCATAAGAATCGGGCCTTTCTTTATGTAATAGCTGGAAAAATACAGACTTTTGCCAGACTAAATCTTTCATTGGCTTCTGGTTGCAGAAGACCAGAAGAAGCAAGCAGATTCATGTCAGTTAGCTGCCCCTCTCCAAACCCCTTGGGGTTAGTTTTCCCCTAAGACCGAGGAGCAATGCCCTGAATGCCACAAAGCCCAGTGTAGGGACCTCAGGACTAGACTTCAAGGGGGTGGGAGTGTGTGACGGGGTTATGCGCCCATCATTCAGTTTCAGAAGCTGAGACCTTTGCCCCTTTTTGCCAAAAGGAATTTGGCTCCCATTTGTTTACAGACCCCAGAAGACCCTTAAACTTTTAGATTCCTTATAGACTCCCCTTATCTCCCTTCCAAAGCCTTAGCCTCGCCTTTTGGTCTTACTCAGATGCGCCTTCCTCCCTAGCCCTAAAAAGAACCTGGCTCCCATTTGTCTATGGGTCCCAGAAAAACCTTAAACTTTTAGGTTCCTTATCTACTCTCTTTATCTCCCTTTGAAAGCAAACTTCTACCTTCCAGTTCCTCTCATTATCTATTCCCATTGTTTATTGAATCTCTCAGACCTGGAATTCTCACCTAGACCCTTTTCCCAACCACCCCCCCTTCCTCTGGCCACCCAAAGTTACTTTAGTGTATTTAAGATACACCCTGCCCCCATTCAGACCCTGAGAATCTCTCATGCCCAGAGGCTGAGACTGTCATGCCTGCTTGTCCTTACTGGGCATCACCTGGCCTATGTGATTTACCTCTAATAAACTTTTTCTCTGGTTGGAAGAAGATTTGAGTTGAATTCTTTCAGGCAGGGCTCGGTGCCCCAATCTTGGGGTGCCTCTGTGTACCTCGGAGCACCCCAAAACCTCTAGACCTCTTCAGTGTGGGGGTATCAGATATAACACTTAAAATAATGATTGCCTTACAAAAGCTTTGGGAGATACTTAAGTATAATATTTCCCATTTTAAGTAAGGGAATTGAGCTTCTGAGAGGTTGTGATGATGATGATGACCACAATAATAACAATAGATACCTAGCATTTATATAGAGATTTAAGGTTCAATCCTTCCAATTATCCCAGGAAGTCGGTGCCATTATTTATCCACAGTTTACAGATGGGGAAATGAGCCTGAAATAGGTTAAGTGACTTGCCCAGGGTGACACAACTAGTAGTGTCTGAGGTTGCATCTGAACTCAGGTCTTTCTTATTTCAAATCTAGCACTCTATCCACTTTGCCACCTGGCTGCCCAAGGTCACACATGAAGTATTGGCACTGGGGTCTGAACCCAGTTCTCCTGCATGCAACTCCAACAGTAGAGTTGGCATTGCAGAGGCCTCAGGGCACTATCCACGTTTCAACTACATCCATAGGCAAAGACAAAAAAACACCCACAGTGGTAGCTAGTAGCTGCCAAACAGGTTGAGGATCGATCTTTATTTTAAGAACTATCTGCTAACAGAATCAATAAATAACTTTCATTACAGTCAATAGGAAAGACACACAGTGGTGCAGTGGGAGGGGCCCCCACTTAAACAGAAAAATATCATACAATTAAATAGACCAGAAGAAGTCACTGCCCCTGTCCTGCAGAGAACTCTATATATAGGGTATTCCCTGCTGGAAAGTGGGCTCTGTCCAGGTAGGGAGTACGGGTAACTTGGAGGCTGAGACCCAGAGCCACCCAGACTTGGGCTCTGAATGGCTCATTTCCCCCTCAGGCTATCTAGGACTCAGTAAAATATTCTTAGACCCATTCATTTCCCCCTGGCTCTTTCCAGACAGCCCTGAAACAGAAAGGTATGCATCCAGCCTGGAGAGGGAAGGACACAACACACAGCCCTCTTCTCTTTCCAATAATGCCGTATGTACAGGTTCTTGAGACTCCCTCCCAGCTAACAGGTACCCTATTTCCAAAGTGAGGAGATGTGAGTTCTTTTGGGTCAACCTCCCTTTTAAGGCCATATCAGGGAAGACAACCCTGTTCTCCCTCAGGGGCCTCTGTTGCTAACAAAATAATGGGTTAAAAGGACCCATAGATCTGATGCATTGTTGCAGTACCTCTGTTCCTTTAGGGAATGGAACTCAGCAAAGAACCTCCTTCATGATCAGGGGAGGGTTGTCTTATGAGGCAGGATCTGGCCCAGGTTAGAGAATGTTGACACCACTGTGAAATGATGTTACCAGATGATGCACAACTTTGGGTATCCTGGGCCTGAGAAGGAAAGTATGCGTGTGGGGGGAAGGAGGGAGAACACCAAGGATGGGGAAGAGAGGGTGGAAATGGGGAGGAGAGATTGGGAGATTGGTGGAAAGGGAGAAGGGAAAATGACATAGAAAGAGGAAGGAGAGGGAATGGGGAGATGGTGAAAAGAGGGGAAAGGGAAATGAGAGAAGGTGGGAAGAGGAAAGAAGGGAAGGCAAAGACGAGGGAGGGAGGGAAAGAAAAGAAACAATGAGGAGAGTAGGAGGTGGGGGGGGGAGAGTCCTTGTAGCTGGGGAAGAGATGACAGGAATCAAAAGCCTGCCTTAGCCTAGTCAAGCTCAGGGTCAAACCAGGGGGTCTTGCTGTGGGAATTGCTGGATCCTCAATCTGAAGGAGACATTGAGAGGACAACATCTGCCTGCTCCAAGCAGGGCTTGACCATATTAGCATCTTCTTTCCTAAAGGTCTCTGGAGTAGAAAGATTCCCTATCTTCCCTCAGACATTATTCCAGGGTCCAGCAATGTTCCTATTGTCCATCCTGGGTCCCTCCTGCTGTTTCTTTGCTAGAGAGCCCAGCTAGTCAGCTGGAAGGATTGATCCACATAGAAGCTCACCCCTGAGTTTGTAGAACTGAAGAAAGCAGACTGCAGGGACTGTTCTCACTATTCCAATCTTTCCAAAATCAAGGAACAGCCCAACGAACAGGTGCTCTCTGCATCCCCGAAGCCCTGGTTCTGAAGGTCACCAGATAGGTAGAGAAGTACAAGTCCCTCTCCCTTCCCCTAAGTTTCTTAAATGCACACCTGGAGAGAGCTGCCCTCCACTCCCAAGGAGAGGGGGGTAACAGCTGGAATGTTAAAGTGACAAGGAAACCAGCAGAGGCAGAAGGGTACCTACCTTTCTCCGCCAAACGTACACAGCTGAAATCGGCTCCTATGGCACACTCCCTTCCCCAAGCACTCCTTGGAGAAGTCTATGCAAGTGGTAGGGGAGTCAGAGAGAGGAAAAACCCCTATTCCCCAGCCTACAAGGCACTTGGATAGGCAAACTGCAAGCCGGGTGGTTAAAAAAAAAAAAAGAAGAAAAAAAAGCACCTGTGTTTTTTTTTTTTTTTCCCCCCTCCCCAGGGGCAACAAAGGGGGGGGGGGGGGGGGGGGAGAGGAGGGGAAACTTCTGACATGGAATAGAGCTGGGGCTGCGGGTTGTGGAAATCTGAGCCAGGGGGAGCTAAAAGGCACCGCTCCCTAGGTCTGTCCTTCCCAGACTGGTTGGGTAGAAACTACCGATGGATTCCCTGGAAGCAAATAATCAGAGGCCCCTTGGTCCAGAAGGGACTCCTCTGACTCTTGGCAAGATCCATTGCAAGCCATCCCATTCTGTAGGGCTCCCAGTGAATGAAGAGTCCATAACCTGCCTTGGCCACCTGTTGCAGCATCTGAGGCAATGGTCCACTCTGCATCCGCCCACGGCAGTCTCCATGTCCCTCTGCGTCCCAGCCGATTTCCTCGGCCTCCTTTGCTTGGTTTAAATCCCTTCCCAAAAGTTCCCCATTGTTCCCCTGGCCTTCAGAGGTATGGTATGCTGAAGACAAAGGTCCGATGTTAGGGACTTAACTGGTCTTTTACTTTAGACATGGTGAGGTTTTCCTGGGATAAGCCCCCAAATAGTCAACATAACACACACACACACACCCACAAAGTAACAGTTCTGCCCCACAGCCGCTTCCCTCTTCTCCAAGGCCTCTTTAAGGAGGGGGGTTTCAGAGCTGCTTGCCTGGGGCAGGCCCCCTGCATTTCAGCCTTCAGCCTGAGAGCACAGCTGATTCCTGGGTCAGAAAGCCCCTGCTCATCTTTGCCTATTGCTTGAGGGCTGAACCTGTTTCCCTCTGGCTTCCTATGCCACAGTTCCTACAGGCAATGAGAGAAGAGAGGGAGAAATGAACTCTGGTCTGCATATATGAGGCAGCCCCCCCACCTCAAGCTCTCTCCAGTCCCCAAGCAAACATCCTGCCTCCAGCTCCTTTTTTTTTCTGAGGGAGAGATGAAAGTAGAGAGTTTAGCCACTGGCCAAAAGTCACCCAGATGATTGGGAGGGGGAAGCATCCATTCAGGGGGCTGGCTACCCCTGCTTTCAGTTGATAAGCCGTATAGAGGCTTCCTCTACCTCCCTTTCAGCTGATCTGAAACCCACAATCCTACCACATTGGTAGGTGGGGTGAGGGGCTTATGGGGAGGGAGGGGCATCAGATTCTCCACTAATTCTGCCTGCCTCTCAAGGAACAGAGTGGGGTGAGTTCACCGAAAAAAGCTGTCATTAGCAGAAGGAATGCAGACCTGCCCTGAAAATCGAGCAGGACCTAAAAATATATAAAAATGATACTAAAATAGAAATCTCACTGTAATAACTACAGAATAGATACAAACCCTCAGAGAAAACGGGCCACAGTGAGTAAGCCTCAGTGAGGCCTGTGACCTCCAAAATGGCAGGCCCTGTGCATCAGGGAGAGGCATGGGGGTATGGCTGGGCTGGGCCAAATCAGTGTCTTGGTACTGGGCCCCTTTCTCAGCTGACCTCAGAGGAGAGGGTGAGGGAAGGGAAGGGAAGGAAGGATGGCTGGCTTCAAAGAAGGTCTACATTGGAGGATTATGGACCAGGATGTCCTTATGGATGCGCTCATACAGGCAGGGGTAGAGAGGCTGAAGCAGCCCCCTGAGTGACTGGGGACCCAGTTGCTGGGCCCTAGCAGGGAGCTTCAGAAAAGGTACCAACCACTCCCCTCAACTACCCTTTGCCCATTTGCCAGATTTTTGAAATTGTTGTAGCTGCAGTTGTAGCTGGAGACGCTAGAAGTCATCTAATTCAAACTCCTCTTATGACAGATGGGGAAACTGAGGCCCAGAGGAGTTAAATCTGCTTTTCTCCTTCCACTCATTAGGCTACAGCCTATTTCTAACACTCCCTGGAGCACTCCCCTTCGATTGCAGCCTCACTCACTCCAAGATAACACAAAGGCTGGCAACGTGAAGGGAGGGATGGACATGCCTGGCAAAGTGACTTCTGGCATACATCCTCTGCACCCATCAGTCTGATTCCTGACTCTAGAATACTGGGAGCTAATCCTTCCAAAAACCTCCTGGCTAGAGCTCTGAGCCCAGCAGAGGAAAGGGAAGAGGAAAAGATCCTTCCCACAAGGCAGGAAACTAAATATTTATAAGGAAGGGCCTTAGGATTTACTGGGAGAAAGAGAAGGGGAGGAAACTGAGGCAGAGTTGTCAGGCTCCGGTGCTCACTCCTAGAACAGGACATGGGGTGGGCACTTCCCCAAGATGGAGCCCTTGGTCATGCAATCTTCTCAAGCTCAGCCAGTTGGCTTTGTCTGTATGGACTCCTGAATGTAATAGCTGGGGTGTTTTGACCCCAGGGGCAGCTTCATTTTAATCTGGGGTTGCCTTTTGGCTGAGATCATTCTCCCAGCAGCTGCAACCTTTGGTCAGTTTTGAATGTCTTCTTCCTGCCTCCGTCCCCCCCTCGTTACTGGGAACGCCCTTTGGATCCTGCAGTTCCTAGAATTGGGGGATTTGCAGTTCTTTCTCTTAGCTGCTTGGAAAGATGAGGAAATGCCAAAGGTGATATCAATCCCCCCATAGACTAGGGGTGAGCAGTCCTTGGCCCCCTTGCTGTCCCCCTCCTTTGGCTGAGGAATGTTTGTATCAGGCTTTCCAGGTCCACTTCTTCAGCCCTAGATCCATCTTGGCCTGTATCAAGGGGGCTGGGCATGTCTGAACCCCTCTGCTTCAAGGGAGCAGGATCCAGATATACCCAGGGTCCCTAAAAGTTGCCATCTCTATTGGTCCAAAGAACACGTATCAAAACTCCCCATCCTTATGTCCATTTAGTTCTTTCCATCCAGAAACCCCAGTGATCATGGGTCACGAGGATACTGGGCTCAATATTTTTCATGGATTTTTATGCCTGTTTCCTCCTGGTTTATAAAGGGGAAAAAAATCCTTTCTTGGGTTCCAGTCCCTGGCAATACAAAACGTCCTACCTCCTAAGAAAAAGGGTATTGTTTAAAGTTGCTGTTTAAACCAATCCTCTTGGGCATATAATTGTTGAGGTCCTTAGCATGGGGAGAGTGTGCCAGGGGCCAGCTGGCTCTGTTCATCCCCAGGTATCTGTCCTGTTGTCCAGGTCTGGGGTGGGAGCGGGGACCATGAGGCCAGGATCAGAGCTCCAAGTAGTCAAGGAGGGCCAGCATCGCCAGGGAATGGGAGAGGATGGTGCCCAGGTGCGGGGCCAGACAGGCTGCTGAGTTCTCCACCATCATACTTGTGCCTGAAAGCAGCAGATAGAAATGTTTGGTGAGACAAAAGGGATGTGGGCCCTGCAAGATTCCTACCACGTTGGGTCAGGGTGACAACCTCTCCTATGACATCTTCTCCCAGAACGTGACCGGACTTAAGAGGTAGTCTGGAAAAAGCCCTGCTTCAGGAGAAGTACATTGGACTTGGACTGAGCAGACCCAGGCTCCAGTCTTGGCTTCCCTAATTACTATGTCACTGTGGGCAGATCTCAACTCCTCTAATCCTCAGTCTTCTTGTCTGAAAAGTGGGCATATTAATAATGTTAATTGTTGATTAATTAATAACGCCCTATCTAGGATTCTGGTTGTGAGGACCAGAGGTAATAATGCCTATGATTTTGTGACTAGAAAGCTCCAATCTTTGGAAAGTTCCAGTAGAGGCTATTATTTTTATTAAGAGAGTCTGTCTAAACTTGCAGACAGGACTGGGTATTAAAATATCTGAGTGGTACTTACAGCTTTCTATCTGTGAATACCAGAATTTTAGAGCCTGAAGGCACCTTAGAGATAATTTTGTCTAGCCCTCTTCATTTTAAAGATGACGAAATGAGGCCCAGAGGAGGTAAGGGCTTATGGCTAGTTTGTGGCAGGTCTGGCACTGTGCCAGTAAACGGTGCGGACTTCCATCTTCTTTCTTACTCTGTGAAATGGGAAGCCTTTTATATTGCTGAGTCTCGGGATATTTTGTTATTTTTCGAGGGGGGAGATAGATAGGGGAGAAAAGGCTTGAGCTGCTTAACAGAGGGCAAAAAATGACAGGCCTGGGCCAACTGGGCCTGCTTTCTCTCTCCCTAGTGGGAGACAAGGCTGGGCCGGCCAGCCTGACGTACACACTCCGTGGTTGTGTAGACTGGGCTGGCCTCAGCTCTGATGGATAGAGGAACTGAAGGAAGAAATGTGTGGGAAGAATGGAGAAAAGTGGGTAGCAGCACCTCCATTCCTCACGATGTGAACCTCAGCTGGGATCCCATCACCTCCCGGTCCTGTGGCCCGAATCTGCACTAGAGCATGGCTGGAGTCCTCAGGGACGGAGATTTCAATCCAGTTCTTGTTGGCCAAATGGAGTATGGGGGCGGAGTGCAAGTCGTTCCGGTACAGCATCTGGTAGAAAGACCTCCAATTGGAGTTTGCTCGTGGGCTATGCTCCTTGGCTTCCACGAGAGCTGGCCTCTAGTGAGAGAGGTCCACTGGGGCTGTGGCCTCTGAGTTCCCATAAGGCCCTGGGACATTTGCTCTTTGAAAAGCAGCTTATCTTGTCTCTACTGATGACCAGTGCAGCAAGAGGTGTTTGGGTTAGGCATCAGGAAAATTAAATAATAATAATTACTAGAATTTATTTAGAGAACTCTAAGGCTTTCAAAGCACTTTACAGATGTTACCTCCTTTGATCTTCAACAACTCAGAAAAGTGAGTGTTATTATTATCTCTGTTTTACTGATGAGGAAACTGAGGCAGGAAGAGGTTAAGTGACTTGCCCAGGGACACAACAGCTTTCAAGCGTCTGAGGCTGGATTTCAATTCAGGTCTTCCTGACTCTAGGCCCAGAACTCTATCCGGCGTTACCACCTACCTAACATTTATCGGCTATAATAGTAATGAGATACTAAAATGTATCACTGGGGAAACATAACGAAAATGCAAAGGAGAAAGTAGAAAGGATGGGCTTTCCCACATATTTCTTGATACCCTTCTCTTTGCTGGGGCCCCAAGTTCTGAATGTCTCTTCTCTCCCCAATGAAGACTGGGTTCTTCTTAGATGGGCCACTCCTCACTGGTCACTCAATGAGGTGTGGAAGGGATTTCAGATGTCACCTCTCCCTATCCCTACCTGAAATAGGAACTTCCCTATGCTATCCCTGGCCATTAAGGGACATTCAGCCTCTTTTTAAAGACCTCCAGCAATGGGGTTCAAGCTATATCTCTCAAGTCAGCCAATCCCACTTTTGGACAGCTCGGAATATTTGTTAGGCAATATGTTCTCCAGTGATATGTTTTAGAAGCTCATTATTCTTCTACTCAGTGAATGGTAGACAGGTGGCTTGGTAGATAAGAGTGCAGGTCGTGGAGTTGGGAAGGTGTGAGTTCAAAGCCAGTCTCACACACTTACTAGTTGTATGACCTCAATCAAGACACTTAACCCTCTGTCTACCTCTGTTTCCTTATCCGTAAAATGGAGATAATAACAGCATCTGCTTCACAGAATTGTTGTGAGGCTCAAATAAGATTAACATTTGCAAAGTACTGCAAAAACCTTAAAGTGTTAATAAATGCTATTATGTGTACAAATGTGCACATGTATATATGCATGTATAATAAAGACTTTATATATATATAGTATATATATATTTCTTTATTTCTGCTTTACCTTTATTTCTACTCCCCCTTCCTTCTTATTCTCGTTGGCTTTGCTTTCATTCCCTCTTTCCCCCTATCTTTCAGTTGATTTAAAAAAAATAATATTTTGTTTTCCCCTGATTACATTTACAAACATTCTTTCACATTCTTTTCTTTTAAGTTTTGAGTTCCAAATTCTATCCCTCCCTCCTCCCCATCCCTTTCCTGAGACAGTAAGCAATCTGACATAAGCTATACATGTGCAATCATGTAAAACATTTCCATATTAGTCATTCTGTGAAAGAAAATTTTTATATGTTGTCTTCTCTCATTAAAATGTAAGGCCCCGAAGGCAGGGATTGTCTTTCTTTTTCACTTGTATTTGTATCCCCAGTCCTTAGCACAGTGCCTGGCATATAATAAGCACTTAATAAATGCTTCCTTCCTTCCTAAGTATATGATACAGAGGAATACACACACACACACACACACACATACACACGCACACTTTGTTGTCTCTCTGTTTCTTTGTCTCTGTCCTCTGTCTCTCTGTTTCTCTTTGTTTCTCTCTGTGTGTCTTCTCTCTCTCTGTCTCTCTCTCTCACCAAGTAACTCCCTGACTCAGTCAACTCCAGGGGCTTCCTACTCCCTCTCGTATAAAATCTAAACTCCTCTGTTGAGCTTTCAAAGGCCGTCACAAGCTGGCCCAACCTCTACTCCTGTCCTGCACTCTGCAGTTCAGCCAAACAGGCCTTCTATTTCTTCCTCACCCATGGCAGGCCATCTCCCATCCTTTGTACTACCCATCCCATATTCCCAGAATGCAATCTGTCCTTGCCTCCACCTCACAGTCCTCTTTCTTGAAGCATCATTTTCTGAACCCAGACTCTTTTGGGTTCTCCCAAATGTCAGTGCCCTCCCTCCTAAATTATCTTGCTTTTAACTATTTGTCTATATTTGTATTCCTTCACTTTGTACTGATGCTGTATATTTTTATATGTACTTGTCTCACTCATTAGAATGCAAGTTCCATACCAGTAGAGCTTGTTTCATTCTTTGTACTTATATCCCAGTGCCTGGCACATAGGAGGTGCTTAATAAATACTTGGTTGATTGATTGCTCCTAGTGCTGCCCACCGGAAGAACTAAATGAAAAGAATTATCAGTGATTAAGCACATCCCAGAATTTTTAGGACAGCTGGGAACCTCTGGGGCTTAGCTAGTCCATCTGCCTGCCTCTAGCTCCTAACCACACCATTCAGTTACTTTGAGACTCCTTTTCTAATGCATTTTCACTATGTTCCCTAGTGATCCATTTCGGTTTCTCCTGACTCTTAGAATCAGTAAATATTCCCAAATCCCTCTTTGTGCAGTAGATAGCTTCTGGTCATTAGCAGAAGCACAAAGTAGCTGCTACTTTCCATTTCTGCTTTAGGGGTTCCCTGGCAGAGTCCTTACCTTGTAGCCAGTGACTGAAGACTCATTTCGTTGAGGGATGACAGGGTCCCACTTAATGCTGAGGCTGGAACTGGAGAGTGTCCAGGAGATATTACTCGGGGGTCGTCTGGGAGCTGAAACAGAAAGGGTTAGGGACAGGGAGGGGTCATAGAAGCAGAGAAAGATGGCACTTTCCCTCGAAGCCACCCTTCCCCTGGGCACAGGAAACACCAGCACCTGCCTTCAAGCAGAGTTGCTCAGAGGCTCCCCCCGAGAAACATAGTCCAGGAAAAAAATAAATAAAAAGAAAGAGGAGGCCTCAGTTGCTGATTTCCTTTTGGTTTAACATCTTATTCTCCCCTGCCCCAGCTTGTGAACCAGCGCCTATGTGCTCAGCAGGGCTTTCTTAGCAAGAATCGGCCCTCCCCCGCCCTGGGCTCATCCAGCTGATTGCTCTGACTGTGGACTCACGGGGCTTCATGGTGGTGGCATTGGTGGAGGGACTGGCAGGCCCAGTGCCTGCTCTGTTGTAGGCCCGAACTGTCACATGGTACTTGGTATTGGGTTGCAGGCCAGTGACCCGGGCACTCGTGTCGAGCCCTGCTGTCCTCACTCGGTCAGCTGCTGCCTCTTTGTCTCCATCTTTCCAGTAGCGGATCTACAGAAGCCAGAACACCCAGCTTATCCCTACCTTCCTTTGTGGCTTTGACCAGGGATTGGGAGCTGGGTCCCAGAAACAGGGGGTGACCATCCCTGAAAATGGACAACTAAAACTCAGCCTCATTTAATGAAATTAGAGGGGTCTTGAGAAATCATCCAATCACAGAGCAGGAAGGAATCTTAGAAATCAACTAGTCCAACCCTCTCATTTTATAGACGAATAAACAGAGGCCCAGAGAGGTTTTCTCCAGGAAGAGTTTCTCATAGCATGAACTAGGACAACGATATACTTGTCAATGATCCCATTATCCCAGTTATCCCCTGACAACAACCTTTGGGTAGTGCTCAGCGTATGCAAACTCATTTTAATATTGTCTAATTACCGTCACTTCCAAGTGTCCCACTTCCAAGTTTAAGAACTCTGACCTCTCTTTATCTCATAATCTTTTCTCTTTCTATCTCTCCCATCTTTCCATACTCCTCCTAACCTTGCTCTTCGTCCTTACCATGACCTTCAGTTCCTCCATTCCCCTGTAATATCCCAGGCCATCAATCTCCTTTGCTCTAGCTGCACTCTTCTCCAATTCTAATCTTCACCCCCTGTTCAACTTGCCCCTTGCCCAATTCTCGAAAACCTTGTTCCACTGTCCTATTGTTGATCATGCCTTGCCAAATCCTAATGTTGGATTACTTTCACTATTCATCTTCTCTCCTGCTATGGAATATTATTAAATGGCACTGGAGAAAATGATGAAACAGTGTCGATTGGGTGCAAGGAACTAATCGACCACTGGACTCTCATTGTATTAAGGCACTGTAATAATCCTACTGGACTCTCATTGTAGTAATCCTACTCATCCTCTCAATGGATTTCCTATCCCATTCACTACAACTGTTATTCCAAACCTCTTCCACCATTTACCCCCATCCCTTCTCAGCTAAGGACCTCACCTAATATTTCCCCTAAAATTTTGAAGACATACACCTGGAGCTCCTTCTCCCCTCTGACACCAGCCCCTACTCCCTCCTCATTCACTCTACTCTTGAATGATGTGGCCAGGTGATCCTTTTGCTTGCCAAGGTCTACCCCTCTTCATACACTCTTACTCCCATACCCTCCTGTCTTTTCCGAAAGATTGCCTCTACAATCATTCTCATTTTCTGCTAATCTTCAATCTTCCCCTATCCTTCTTTTCTTTCTTTTTTATTAATTTATTTAGTTTTAGTTTTCAACATTCACTTTTATAAGATTTTGAGTTCTAAATTCCTCACCCCTACCCCTTCCCCAAGACGGCATGCAATCTGATAAAGGTTATACATGTACCCTATCCTTCTTTTCTGCCTTCAAACAAACTCAAGTCTTCCCTAACTTAAAAAGCCCTCATTTGATCTGACTACCCTTGATGGTTATTGTCCTCTGTCTTCCCTTCCCCCTTTGTGGCTAAACTCCTTAAAGTCTTAGCAGTAGATGATTCCACTTCCTCTCCACTCACTCTCTTCCAAACACTATGTAATCTGGCTTCCAACCACATCATTCAAGTGAAACTACTCTTCCTGAAGATAACAACCATCTTTTAGTTGCCATGTCTAATAGCCTTTTCTTGGTTTCACCCTTCTTGATTTTTCTACAGCATCAAACACTACTGACCACATTCTTTACTGCCTAGATATTCTCTTCTCTCTTGGCTTTCTCTCCTACCTGTCCTTGGTTGCCTTTGCTGGGTTCATATCATACTCCTTAACTGTAGATGGTGTCCCCCAAGGCTCTGACCAGGGCATTTTCCTCTTTTCTCTCTGAACTCTTCCGCTGATTACCAGATCTACTTATCCAGATCTGGTCCCTCTCCTGACCTCCAGTCCCATATCACCACCACCATCTTTGTCTGTTTGCAACCTTGGTGTCATCCTTAATTCTACCCTTCCTCCCTTTTCATCCCCCTACTTGGTAAAATCCAATGGCTTCCTATTACCTTTAGGATCAAATAGCAACTCCTCTGTTTTCTGGCCCCTTTGTACCTTTCCAGTCCTTTTACATATCGCTCCTCCTTCCACCCTCTCCCTTCACCTCTGAAGTCTACAATCCAGCCATACTGGCCTGCTTGAATATCCTCATACAATACATCTCACCTCTTGTCCCTGTGCTTTTGGTCTGGCTCTCCTCATGGCTGGAATGCCCTCCTTCTAAGTGCCACCTCCTGAGGAGGCCCTTCCTGTTTCCCTGGCTGATGGTGCCTTCTCCTCTGAGGCTACTTCCATCTATACTTTGTAGTCATTTTGTATGCACACATATGTATGTATGTATACAAATAGAAAAAAATATGTGTGTGTGTGTATATATGTGGTCTCCCCATTAGAACGTAGGCTCCCTGAGTGCAGTGACTGTTTTTGCTTTTTCTTCTGTCCCCTGTATTTAGCCCTGTGTCTGGTACACAAGAGATGCTTAATAAATGCTTGTTGGGTAATTAATCATCAGGAAGGGAAAGTCAGAGAAAAAAATGACAGTCCCTTACATTTGCAAGATGCTTTCACATCTGTTATCTCACGGGGCTCATACAACAGTCTTGTAAGGGAGGTAGGGTAGGAATTATTATACCCATTTTACAAATCAGGAAACTGAGGTCTCAGAGAGATGAACTTGACTTGTCTCAGGTGCCGGGCCAAGTAAGATAGAAAACCAGGACTTGAACTTGTCCCCTGATTCAAAAGCCAGTGCTCCTGTTGTATTTTCAAACCAAGGGCAAATGACTATTAGAATATATTCAGCTCTACATTGCCCACATCATGGAGTAATTAGCTCTATTAAATTCAAAATCTGGATGGATCTATGATCTCATGGAAAGTAACAGTGGATACAGCACTGGCCCTAGAGTCAGGAACACTTGAATTCAAATCCAGCCTCAGACACCTACTAGCTGCGTTACCCTGGGCAAGTCACTTTACCCTGTTTGCCTCAGTTTCCTCATTTGTAAAATGAGCCAGAAAAGAAAATGGCAGAGCACTCCAGTATCTCTGCCAAGAAAACTCCAAATGGGATCACAAAGACTTGGATACTGCTGAAACAACCGAACCACAAAATCATGCCTTCCTATCAATTCTTCAAAGGGGATCTACCCTTCCTCCCCCCCTCCAAAAAAAAGGCTGAAGCCTTCCTTCTTCTGGTTTCTTCCATTACAGTAGACCAGAGTGGCGGCATTCGTTATTTATTGTCTGATTATTTTTCTCTTGAATGAAGAGTGGCGGTGGATAGAGTGTTCTACCTGGAGTCAGGAAGACTTAGGTTTGAATTCTGTCTCTGAAATTTACTAGTTATATGACTCTAGGCAATTCCCTTAAACTTCTCTGAGTCTCAGTTTCCCTATCTGTAAAATGGGGATAATAATGCCTATAGTAGCCCCTTTCAGGGTTATTGTGAGGCTGCATTGAAATTAAAAGACTCTGTAAATCTTAAAGTCTTAAATATTAAATAAATGTTACATTATTGTTATTAATAACAATAGCTAACATTTATATAGCACTTACTATTAGGCACTGTGCTAAGTGGTTATCTTATTTGATCTTCACAACAACCCTGGGAGGTAGGTGCTGCTATTATGGTCATTTTACAGATGAAGAAACTGAAGCAGAAGTTAGTTAGCTTGGCCAGGGACACACAGCTGGTAGTGTTCGAAGCTGGATTTGAACTCAGCACTCCCTAACTTCAGGCCCAGCATTCTATCCCCTATACCACCTAGCTGCCATTATTACTATTATCATCACTCCCCTAAGCATGAGAGTTCTGCTTTTTCCTCATTTCTGATTCATCTTCTACCTCACTTAGATTCTTTGTACCAGATCGTTATAAGACCTAGGTTCAAATCTTCTCCATGTTATTGATGGGGTGCTTGGGTGCTTGTAATAGGACCCCAATTCCAAGACCATATTTCTCCCTAGCCTCAAATGCTATCCCTGGCAGTTTCTCTCCAGCCCAAGGATACTATGTCTAGCAATTACTCGTGAGTGAGCCTCAGCAACACACTTATCTCTCTCCCTGGTGCAGTTACAAACTGCACCTGAAGGAATCATTAGTTTGAACTGGTTTTGCACTGGGTCATAAAGATATTTATACCCACTGGAACATCTATACTACCTCCCTACCTCATTATCTCCATCCTGGACTCGTCATTATGTATATTCTAGACTTAAGACATATGTATACTCCCTACATCTATCTTGTCAAAAAAGACATTGATTGGTGGCAGATTGGGCAACCCTCATTTGGCCCTGACCGCTAGTTAACTTAGTGATGTAGCAGACCTAAAAACCACACCTCCCTGTCGCCCCTACTTGGGCTTTTCCTGATGAACTCTGGGTAAAACACCTGAGCAGCAGATACAAAAAGTGCCTGTTCCTTTAAGAACTGACCACTCCTTAACCACTCCCTAGTCCCGCCCTGAATCACCTAGTTAGCATATTTGGCACATGTTTTACTGTAGTTTATCCTATATAAACTTTAACTGTACCCCTCTAAGGTCGCAGGTTCCTTAAGAATCCTTGCCTGATGAAAAGCATCACAATAAATTTTTGCCAACTTGACTTAAAGAATGTTTGAGTTCGTGAAGTCATTTCAGGCAACTCTGTCCTGTACTCCCGTCTTTGAGGGGTCTCTGAACCTCCCAGACCACAACATTACTTACTACCTTGACGACCTTAGGTAAGTCCCCTATAAAATAAAAAAAGTCCAGAACCTCCTGGGTCCTATCCAGGGGTGTGGGGGTGGGGAGTTCCAGATGATGGCTTCACACCTTGAGGGGTAGAGACCTAGCTTATCCTACTACTTGCCTTATGCTTGGGAGGGGAGCAATGCTTACCTCGTACCCTAGAAGGACTCCGTTCATGTCGTCCTGATGTACTGGTTCCCACATCACATCCATCTCTGAGGACAAAACCCCCTTGGCCTTGACTTTGGCAGGGGCCACCCTGGGCTCTAAGGACCAACATGGGAAGTGATTAGGTTGTTGGGGTTATCCAGTGTTGTATATGTGGGAGCTCTACACCTTGGTCCTTGGGGACCCCATATGCGGTGTCTTCTCTCTGCCACAGATTTTTTCTTAGGGACTGAGGCCCACTTGAGCAGGAACCAAATTTTCCCCACCCCGGTGAAGATCCTACAATTGAACTCCAAGGCAGCCAGACATTCATACACTCCGGGTGGAACCAGTGCATTTTCCTGATAACCATCACATATTGCCCAACCATGCCCATCAACTGCTTAGAAACAAGGCCCAGGGCTAATTTCTTTTTAAAGGCATATTGTTTTCCCCAGGTTTGGATTCTGCCCTTGGGTGATCAGGATGGGAGATTGTTGGGGATGAAGTATTTAATCCCTGGTCCTCCAGCACACAAATGCTGAAGCAAAGTCAGCTTCCAAGAGAGGTTGGGAGCCCTCGGGGTGCAGCCTACCTTCCTCAGCAGAGTACACGGTGGTGGTGAGGCTCTCAGGACCCTCTCCCTGGCGGTTGTATCCCCGGATCTTGACTTCAAAGGGTGTGTAGGGCCGGACGCTTTCATTACGGTAAACAAAGTGCAGTGCATCGGCATGAGGGACCTTGGCCCTCTGCCACTCTGAGCTGCCCTGTCTCCGGAAGGACAGAAGGTAGCCAAAACCTTCTCCATTCTGGTATTCCCGTAAAATGGGCTGTAGGGGTGGCAAGAGCAGAGGGTTAGGGGGTCCAAGACCTCATGGAGAATCAGGGACAAAGGTCCTGGCTTCAGTTCTGGTCCTGTGCATTGCTGCCTGGTGTCCTTGGGCAGTCACTTCCTATCTCCGGACCTCAGCTTCTTCTGTAAAATGAGGGGGTCAGATGATCTCTTTGTTCCCTTCCAGGTCTAAATCCAGTCATCCTAAGCCATGCTCTCATCTCCAATCACCCCTCAGATCACAGAATAAAGATTTATGTGTCTAGGATGGGCAAGAGCAAAGACTGCCAAAGAGCTCTGCAACGGTGGAACAGATCCAGGTATATAGGGGCAGGTGGTTTGCTGTCTAGCCTTCAGCTGGTATTTGGCAGCCCCTAGAGCTCTCCTCTCTTCTGAACTCTTTGGACCTACCCATCGTGCCTCCTGAACTTCGCTTAAATAAGGAGAAGAGGAGGACGTAGCACAGTGCTAACTAGCTCTGGAATTGTGAAGACCTAGGTTCAAATTCTGCCTCAGATATTTACTAGCTGTGTGACCCTGAGCAAGTCACTCAGACTCTGTCTACCTCAGTCTATTCATTTGTAAAATGAGAGGAGTGGACTCAATGACCTCTAAGTTCCCTTCCAGCTCTAAGCCTATGACCTATGAGCAGGACTTATTTCTAAAGCCAAGATCTGTCTTCTGCTCACCGTCCAGTTGATAATGAGTTCACCAGGGGCACCACCTCCTCCACTGAGTCCTGACGGTGCTACCGTGGGAGCTATAGGGAACATTGAAAGACACAGATGTGATCTGTTAATAACACACTGTTGAGACCCGAGGATGCTGCCATAGACATTAAAAGATACAGATGTGATCTGTTAATAACACACCACTTTCTGAACAGTTATGTTGTGAGGAAATCGTATATAGATCTTAGAGCTCTATAGCTAGGTCAATCTCTGTTACTAGTGGGCAAGAGGGGAGCAAAGGGTCTCTACCTGAACCCCCTAGGATTCAGCTGGACAGATTCTCTGTCTTCTCCTAAATGGCAGAGGTCAACTAGAATTACCTCTAAGGTAACTAAGGAGAAGGAATAACCTAAATAATTGTTAAGTTAAACAAACAAAAAAACACCATTTAGTTTTGGTCCAAAGTACATTTTTTTTTCTCTCTTGACAGCTGCTTTCCTTTTCTCATCCTCTTCCGCTTGGGCCGATGAATTTTTATTGGTATCTTTTGTTTTTATATCGTGTATATTTCTCAGCACATCCTTTTTCTTTCCCTCCCAGAGCCAAGGCTTATAAGTGTATAAAGGTGGGGGTTGATTGAGTACATCAATCAAGTCATTCCACCTCATCCAGTGTGGGAGTTTGTTTTGCTAGACAGTGCATATTTATTACAAGCATTCAATTTTTATTTTATTTTTCAAAGGTGGGGAGGGTGGACTAGAGAGAACATTGATTTTTGTAAATTGAAGAAGTGTAATTAAAAAAAGAAAAGAAAACCATTCCCCCAGGGTTAACCTCAGAGCCCTGATGGAACAAGCACCTGAGCTCTAAGCACCCCCTCCCCACCCCACAGTAGTAACAGTGCATAAAAAAAGACTCAAAAAGAGAGCAGGGGAAAGTTCAACAAAATTAATTAATGCAATGAAAAAGTTTGACATTTTATGTAGTGTTCTATTCTGCCAGTTCTTCCCCCCCACCCCACCTCAGAAAAGAAGTGAGGGTATTTCCCTCCCCATCTCCCCTAGGCTGATATTAAAATGAGAGTAAATTTCCTCAGTTCATCTAGCCTAATGGGGCAGAGAACAGAGGCAGACAGATGCACATATAAGACGTGTACTTTAGGACGATGGCTTTGGCATAAAGGATGAACTGGAATGGAGAGAGTCTAGAAGCAGGTAAACCAATTAGAAGTCTACTTCTTGAGTACAGATGAGAGTTAATGAGGGCCTGAATTAGTGTGGTGACTGTGTGGCTGGGTAAAGAGAAGCGGGTAGATTTGAGATGTGGTAAAGATAGAATCAACTTGATAGCTGATTGCATATGTTGGGTGAAGGAAGAGAGAGGAGTTGAGCTGACTGCTAGGTTGCAGAGGTAGCCTGATGAAGGTAGAGTGTCAATGTAGGATAGGGTGGAGTAGCCAAGGACTAAAATGTTTCTGCAGATAAACCACCAAGTAGAAGATTGACCTTATAGGGAAAGTTGGTACAAGGGCCAGGGGGAAAGGTGAATGAAGGCTGAGAGATGGGAGTCTATGAAATCAAATTGTGCAGGATATGGAATGGGGGAGCACCAGCTGGCTCACCAAGTCCTGAGACTACCTCCTCAAAGCCTGAAAGCAGTCAATTAAGGATCAATGAAAGGAGGTCTTGCTTTCAGAAGATGGCAATTGAAAATGGTGGTACAAGATCAAGTGGTAAGGTGTTTTAAAACAGAGAACCACAGAATTTCCAGGATGGAAACCATCTCAGTGGCCTTCTGATCCAATCTGTATACATAAACCAAGATTCCCTCTATTGCATAACCTTACCTCCCCCAAACCCCAAACCTAGCCTCCACTTGAAGACCTCTCCAGTCAGGGGGAATCCAGTACCCCCCCAAGGCAGCTTATTCTCCCTTTGGATGGTTCCATTTTTTACAGAGATCTCCCTTACAGGAAACAAAACTTTGCCTCTTTGCAACTGAATGGAATTTGAGAGTTAGAAGGAATCTCAGCAGCTATCTGGTCCAACCCAAGCACAAAAGTAATCTCTAATGCAACCTATATAATATCTAGTCATCCAGCCTCTATCCATTTGTTCTAATTCTGTCCTAAGGGGCCACAAAAACAAGTCAAGTCTCTTTTACGTGAGAGTCCTTCAAAAATTTGAAAATAGCTGTCTTTTTGTTCCTGTACATACACACACACACACACACACACACACACACACACACACACACACACTCTATCTAGAGTATCACTCACAGTTTAGGAACGACAGAGATAGGGGAGACGTGATGGCTATTTTCAAGTACTCGAAGGGCCATGACATGTAATAGTAATATGATAATAATACCTAGCATTTACATAGTGATTTAAAATTTGCAAAGCGCTTTATAAATATCATTCCATTTGGAAGGAGGGGATTGTTCTTGTTTTGAATAATTAAGAGTAAAGGGTAGAATTGGCAGTGGGGTAGATTTCTATGATGTAAAGAAAAACTTGAGAAAATAAAATACAGTAAAGAAAAACTTCTTAACAACTACAGCCATCTTGGATGGAGTGTAGATTCCCCACACTCTTTCAAGCAGAGATGGAATGACTACTTGTCAAGATGATGAAGAGGGAATTCTTTCTTAGCTCGGAGCTCCCTTCCAGTGCTGAGATTCTATGACTGACTCCCTTTCTGAATGCAGTTGGGTGAGGAGTGGCGGTAGTGCTGGAGGGGATGGTGTGATTCTTCATCAAAACATCCTTCTGGACATTAGTTGTCTGAGTGGTAAGAAGTGGTGAAAAAGGGTGATACAGTCTAATTTCCCTCTCCCATCAATTCATCTCAATGTCCCCAGGCTGCCCCCAATATTGCTCAACCACAGGATCTCATTGTGAAGGGCCCTCACTGATCATCTAGGTCATCATACCTTCCCACCATCACAGGCAAGACCTTCAGTGATTTCCTCTTCAATTCTAGAGCCTGAGTCCTTACTCTTAGGCCTGGGCTTCTTCCTTCTCACCCCTCCCCAAGGTGGAGTGCCAGAGTCTCTGTCTCTACCCTCACACTTCTTTCCATAAAGCTACAAGCCCCAGACCTGATTCCTTGGTCCGGATTTTACTAGAGGGTCCACTGGGCTCCCCTGTGCCTAGGATGTTGCTGGCAAAAACCCGGAACTCATAGTCCATCCAGGGGGTGAGGCCAAGCACCTGAGCAGTCTCTGCATTCCCCTCAATATTGGCAGGATCTGTAAGGCAAACAAACCACAACATCCTATCTACCCACCAGTCTCTGAATATAAGGTAGTATGCTTTAGTGAGAAGAGTACTGGACCTGGAATAAGGAGATCCATCCTCTGGTCTCTGCTTTGCCATGAGTAATAATAATAATAGCAACAATGATTGTGTCGATAAGAATTATATTAATAATTAACATCAATTATTAATAATAGCTAGAATTTATATAGTGCTTTAAGATATCCAAAACATTTCACACATTATCTCATTTGATTAGGGCTGTGTCAATGAGTGGGGGAGGGAGAGACAGGAGTGAGATGATTTGGAAGTGAAAATAAAATTAAATTAAAAAAAAAATATTGGGAACCTGCTGGTAAATGTTCTACAATTAGTTCTCAAAAAAAAGTTTTAACCATGACACACTTTGAAGTTTAATCCGTATTATTAACATTTTTTCCCCATCACTTTCTTAAGTCTAGACAATCAACAAAACAATAAATCAAGCCCCAGTTTGAAGCATTTGCCAATTTCCAAGGAGTAAATGCTCAAACTTGTCAGTTGGCTGTTGTGAGCGTTTAGGATGACTCCAGTACACCTCAGTTGAATTGATCCTCACAACAACCCTGGGAGAGGTGCTGAGGCTGAGAGGATCTGAGATTTAGTGACTGAGGTGGGATTCAAACTCAGATCTTCCTGACTCCAAGTTCAGCATTCTATCTACTATACTGTGTAGCCCCCTAACTTGCTGTGTGATCTTGGATCTCACTTTCCTTCTCTGGTTCTCACTTTCCTCCTCTCTCAAAGGAAGACATTGTAGTAGATGGTCTCTAAGGTTCCTTCTGGAACCTTCTTGTAGTATACAAGTCTGATTTCCCTTATTATACACTAAGCTCCCCAGGACAGAAACAGTGTTATATTTATCTATTATCTTTGCACCTTCTACAAGGAATTGCACATACTAGGTGTTCAGTAAGTGTTGAATGAATGAATGAATGGACTTGATGAATGCTAGGAGTTGGGATGGGAGGTGGCAGGAGAAAAGGCAGCTGGATGGGGCTTGGAAGCCCATGTTACAGTGTGATTAGTTCAGGTCAGGCAGCCCCAGAGATACTCACTGGTCCGGACCTGCTTCCATTTTCCATCAGGCAGGGATCGGGCTTGGAGGATATACTTGGCGATCGGGCTATGGTTGTCAAAGCCTCGGCTCCAAGTTAGTTGGACAGTGGTGTTGCTGATGTCCCTCACCATTATTCCACCAGGGGGACCTGGAGGACCTGTCATGGAATTGGAAGAGGGTGAGGATGAAGGATTCAGACCCCAGACTGATTCAGGAGCCTGTCTTGAAGGAGTTCAATACCTTGATGGGTCATTAGAGGGCACTACTAGGATGCTTTAACAGGTGGTGTTTAGGAAGAAGGAAGCAGGCAATGTGTGGTTGTACTGTGTTAGGTACACACGCCAGCCCTAAAACCAAAGCCTAAAAGGGACTTGGAGAGGTCCATCCAGGAAACAGGACTGCATTCAGGATCATAGGCAACTTTTCTCCATAAGCCTCAACTCTTTAACAAAGTAGACTTTTAAAAAACTGTGGCCCCTGAAAACCAGTATTCATTCACTCCTCTATGGGGCATATGAAGGGCAGCAGGTAATACCCTATTATATATCTATATCTATATCTATATATATCTATTATATATATTATATATATATTTCTACCGTACCACCTAGCTGCCCCTAATACCCTACTCTTTTTTAAAATTTTTATTTTTTTTAGGCAATTGGGGTTAAATGACTCGCCCAGGGTCACACAGCTAGTAAGTGTCAAGTGTTTGGTCTGATGCTGGATTTGAACTCAGGTCCTCCTGACTTCAGGGCCGGTGCTCTATCCACTGCTCCACCTAGCTGCCCCTAATGCCCTATTCTAAAGGCTCATCAGAAAACTCAGACAAGAATTTGTGGAGGGAGGAGTAGAGATGGTGGGATGGGCCTGGCTCTGGGGAACAGAGGTCCAGGAAGAACCAGATCAAGGGTCAGTCACCTCGAACCAGGAGGGTTGCAGTCTCTGATGTGCTGTCTACTACAGTCTGGGCCATACACGTATACTTCCCACCATGGCGCAGCTGGGCATTTAGAATCGTCAGGTCCCCAATGGTTTCCTTCTGCACAGAGGGGAGACAGGAAAAGAGTCAAGGTCAGAGGGCAGAGCTCAAAAGTAGAGGGAGTACTGGGCTAGGACACCTATATTTGACTTTTAGTCCAGTTCCTTAGGTGACCCTGGAAAAAGCTCATGAATCTCTACAGGACTCAGCTTCCCCATCTGCTGAATGGAGAGATTCATACTACCCAAGATAAAATGAAATAACATATGGGTAAATATTTGGGAATGCAGTTTCTTAGAAATATAGCTATTTTCCATTTATTTGTTCAAACTATAGGGAGAAGGAAAGGGAAAACATACATTGTTGCAATGATACAGAAAATCATAAGCTGTAGATAACCAAAATATACCTAAGTATTTTGAGTAGTCATTAGACTGCATTGTAAGAATTAGAATGACCTTCCTGTTTCTATTTGGTCTAGGATTATATTAAAAATGAACTAATGTTGCCTGCTAGTGGGAAAAAAAATCCAAAAGCATGCTGGGTGGCATGGGGATTTCGTATTTGACACAAAGGATTGACAGAGTGTTTCATTCACTTGTAGAACCTCAAGAAATGACCTTGCCAAGGAAGTAAGGGAGATTATTTTTTTTTTCATTCTTTTGATTTCATTTGATTGATTCTTGATGTCTCGAAGAATCATTAGCTTTCACTTGCCCATTTCTAATTTAAGGAATAATAATAATAATTTTTTTTTGGCTAGGCAATGGGGTTAAGTGACTTGCCCAGGGTCACATAGCTAGTGAGTATTATGTGTCTGAGGTCAGATTTGAACTCAGGTCCTCCTGACTCCAGGGCCCATGCTCTATCCACTGCGCCACCTAGCTGCCCTAGGAAGGGAGATTATTCACATAAGGAGAATACTAGAAACTCCCTTTTCTATAGCCCACAGCAATCCTGTGAGGGAGGTAATATAAGTATTATTAACCTCCCCCTTTTTTTAGAGGTGAGGAAACTGAAATCAGGAATTAAGTGACTTACCCACATCATGCACCTACTAGATGTGAGAACCTGGATTTGAATCTACTCAGCCAGGGGACAGAGGGATGGGATTAATGGTCAAGGGTTAGCCTTTCCTTGGTTCCCTAGGCTTCTCAGGGTCATTGAGAATGGAACTTGGCCCTAGGACTCACCGAGCTGGCTCTCCGGTAGTGGCCGCCAGATTTATCCAAGTCAATGGGGAAGCCGTCTAGGGCCCAGGTGAAGGTAAGGTCCATGGTAGGGTCATGGGAGGCATGGCACTGCAGAGTCAGGTTCTCTCCCAGATTAATGTCAGCGCTGGATGGTGCCAGGGTGATCTTGGTGGCATCTGACAAGGGGAGTGAAGGAGCCCAGACAGAGTGGGGTGAGCACCTGTCTGAGCCTGTGTCACTGGAGTGACCTGGGAGAAGGGCAGGGTGGGAGGATGTGCCATCAGCCCCAACAGTGGGACTGAAACTGTTTTGTGAATTGGTGCCACTGCTTCACACAGCTTAGGAAATCAGGGGCTGGACTTAGGAAAGGGTACAGGTGCTCTCATGTCAAACATAACTCCTGAGTCAGCCCCCAAACCAACCCAAGAGGACAGAAAACCAAGGATAGAAACTAGAAATAGGACTGCATGGAGAGGTGACCCCCTATGGTAGCTACACCAACTAACGTAGGTGTCTTATAATGTTTATTGAACTGAATTGAATTGGTGATCACTTTGTTAACAGAGTAGCAGAATTATCCCTCCTTCCTGGCTTTCCCTGTGGTTCCTACCTCGGACAGAGAGGATGCCAGTGCTGTTGGCTTTGCCCATGAAATTCTCTGCAAAGCAGGTGTATTTCCCTTCATCTGACCGACTGATGTTCCGAAGGATCAAAGTACCATCTGGAGTAATGGTCACTCTGCATTAGAGAAAGAATGAAAAGGGCTAGAGACTGGCTGCTCTAAGGATATCTGAGGCTCAAAAGGAGGGAGACTTGTTCCTGAGAACAGGGAGGAGAAAAAAGATAAGGAGACAGAGAAAGAAGCGGTAAAAGGAAGGAGGAAGAAGAGGAGGTGGGGGGAGAACTGGAAGGAAGGAAGAGGAGGAGGAATAGTCCAGGAAGCTCATACCTGCTACTGTTGACTAAGATTTCAGTCCCTTTGCTCCAGAGCACAATGGACTTTGGAGCTGACTTGGGCTGGCATGGGATAATAACTTCTCCCCCTCGAGCAGCTGGGATCAGACGCCTTACTGGATTCAGCCGGAAATCAGGAGCAAAAGCTGAAAAAAAAAAAGGAGATTTTTTTTTTTATGGTAAGAACTGTCATAGTGACAACTACTTAGAGTAGGTAATTCAATTCAATTCTTATTATAAGAACAAACTTCCTAACTGGAGCTGTCCAAAAGTGGGAGGTGCTGCCTTGGGAGGTAATGAGGTCCCTGTCATTTGAGATATTCTAGCTAGTCTAAGTTGGATGAGTCCTTGGTGGGAATGCTTCTCAGTCAGGTACAGACTGGACTACATGGCCTCTCAGAGGATCCCTGCAAACTCTAAGACTCCAATTCAGTCACTATCCGTTGCTATAGGAGAGTTCAAGGAAGAGAAAGATCATCGTGGCCTTGGGTGGTCAGGGAAGGCTTGAGGGAGGTGGTAAGAGGTTAGCTGGATATTGAAGGGGGGTAGTACTTGAATAAAAGCAGATTAGAAGGCAGGCTGAATTAGAAGATGGGAGATTAGAGGTGAAGACACCGATTGATCAGTCCCCTTATAATCTAAAATTTATAGACTTAGAGGTTCTTAGATGCTAGTGACATTTGCAAAGTAACACTCAGTGAGACTTATATGGTAGGGGGGTGAAAATTTCCTTCTTTCCTCCACCAACTACTAAACCTGTTAAAATCTATTTTCTTAACATTCTTATTTTATTCTCCATATCTTATTTTTTTTAAAAAAAATTCCTCCACTCAGAAGTGGCAGAATTTAGCAAATTATTAGTATGTATATGTATTTAATGAGCCTAATTCATCTTGTGAAATCACAACTCCTGGAGTTCTAGTCCCTGATGCTACCTGTTGCAACTTTAGAAAAGTTATTGAATGTTTTCTGGACCATGAAATTTTCTTCTTCCCTGGGTGGAAGGGGTAAGACCGAGAGGTTGTAGTTTTTACCTTGTACTGCCAATTCAGCACTGGCATAGATGGTACCGTGCTTGTTTTCTGCCACACACTGGTACATGCCAGAGTCCTCCAGGACCAGCTTGGAGAATTTCAGGTCCCCACCAGAAATCTCCATACGGTTCTGTGCAACAGACCAGGATGGGAGAAGATATTCAGGAGTGAAAGAGGATGTGGTCAGAGATACCAAAGGACCAGAGTCACGGGACCAGGGGCTGAGATACTTATGAAAGCTTAGAACTGTTGATGTAAATCATTGGAAGATAGCATCTGGCGCTAATTTTAGGACATTCTGGTTAGTTCCATACCCTTAAGGAACCAAGACATAAAGTTAGAACTGGAAGAGTAATTCAATTTAACCCCTTCATTTTACAGATGAAGAAACTGAGGCCTAGAGAGATAAAGTGAATTACTTAGGTCCACAAAGCTACTTAGTGGAAGGACTAGAGGTAGAACCATAGCCTCTCAACCGGGTATCTTTCCGCTATACCACAGGACAGACCTCTTTGACCATGCACTTGCTCACGGCCATTAGCAAGCCTGAGGAAGTGGGCAAGTGCCTATGTGCCAGGAAAACTCTGAAGCCTACAGGACATAAGCTTGATGGTCTCCCAACCACTCACTTTGATGGGGTTTAACACTGTCAGCATATGAAGCTACTTTGTATGTGTCTCAGGGAGATACCCTCTATGGTCTCTGCTCTGCAGAGTCAAGCTACCTACCCACCTCTGGCAGTCCTACCTGAGAGGACAGGGGATCCCCATTTCGAAGCCACCGAACTGTGGGCCTTGGCTTGCCAGCAGCTGCACAGCCCCAGTGCAGATTGGAGCCAATGTCAGCCTCGGTGTCTGAGATGACCTTGAGCCACTCGGGCTGAGCTGTTGGAGAGAGGAGGAAGTGAGATGGTACTTCGAGAGAGAGAGAGAGCTGTATGGGGATAACTTTGGTGCTGTAGTGCCCATACTTAACAGCAGAGGGCACCAGGAGCATATTTAGGGATTAAAATGCAACCAGACCGCAGGAGGAAGGAGGAAGGAGGTATTTTGGGAGTTGGTATTTAGTAGTTGTATCCATAACAAAAACCATAATTGTAATCATTGGGACTGGGTCTGTGATTTCACTGGTGTAAGGAACTGCTTGGTGAGGAAAGTTCTTCTAGGTTAGTACCTTCTCTGAAACTTATAGTTTTATAAACTTAGAGAAGTGCCTTGAACACCATATTGGGGACATTAGTCTATAGCATCTATTAAGCACCTACTATATGCCAGGCACTGTGCTAAGCACCAGCATTGAAAAGTTAAATGATTTGCCCAGGGTCAAACAGCCAATATGTGTCAGGGGTAGGGCTTGAACTCAAGTCTTCTTGGCTTCAAGGTTGAGCTATCCATCCACTGAGCCACACTGCCTCTATAATTGTAATAACAGCTGACATTTATATAGTAGCTTATAATTTGCAAAGCACTATTTACATACCTTACCTTATAGCAATTCTGCAAAGATGCTCTTATTTTCCTGACTTAGAGCCCTACTCTTCCTACTTTGTGGGCTCCTTTCTACATTGTATCAGCTGATAAGACAAGCCCCCCTGCTCAGGCCTCTCCTCAAACAAGACCCCACTCCATATCTCTGAGCACGGAGTACTTCAGGATGAATGGAACCAGTCAGCAGCCTCTCAGCTATAGCCTGATGTCTGAGGCTCCCGAGGAAGAAGCTTGGAGTACAAGGAATGCCCCCAGCCCCTTACCCTGCACAATGATTCGGCCTTTGGCAGTGTCACGCCCTTTGGAGTTCTCTGCTTCACACTCGTAGGTGCCCTCATCCTCGAAGCTGACGCTGGGGATCTGCAGTGTGGGCTCTGCAGTGGCCCATTGTGGGGGCAGTGAGTCATCCAGTTTTCTCCACTTGATCCGAGGGACTGGGCTGGTGGGAGGAAGTAGGGTGGGAGGGGGAGAAAATGCCAGGACTAGGAGCTGGACTGAACTAGAGCACAGAGCCTTCTCTCCTCCCCACTGCTTCCAAATCCCTCCACCACTATGCAGGTCCTGTGTAGGACTGGCTTATGGAGCCTGGGACCAAGGGTTGGGACGAGACATCCCTTAGGCTAGAGAGACAGAGGAGAGAGGTGCTGAGCCTCGGCTGAGGTTCAGGAGAGAACAGAATGCAGGAGTGGGGAGGGCAGAGCAAGACATGTCTCTTATTCCCTACATCCAAAAGGCACAGGAGGCAGAAAGGGAAGGACTAGGAGCTGATGCTTCAGTGCATAAGATGCCTGTTTCCTTTCTCTCCCCTCCTTCTCTTCTCTCCTTGGTCCTGACCTTGGGATCAGAGACAGTCCCAGGCAAAAAGGTAGGTTTGTGAAGTTTGTCTCCATTGCCACACTCCAACCCATGCTCAGTCTCCTTTCTTTCCGTGGTGTCCCCCTTCACAACACTGCTCCATGCTCAGCATGCTTTCTGATCCCTTCACTCCTATCCCTCATCATTTTGTCCCTCAGGGCCCTAATCTCTAGCTTTCTAAGGTGACACTAGCTAGTTAATCTAGGCTAAGGTGTCAGTGAACACTAATGGCTTCTAAAAGATGGATGCAAAGAATAAAGAAATTATGCTGAAACCTAAGGGCTGGGAGGAGGGAGCTTTGGTCAGCAAACTCCATCCCCATTTGCCATTACTCACTTCCCAAAAGCAAAGCACTCCAGGGTGACCTGTTGTCCAACCAGAGCATAGGTCTCCAAGGGGAATCTGGCCTTGATGCTGGGTGAAGATGGACGGGAGTCTAGAGGGAGAAGCCATGCAAATGAGATGCAAATGAGCCTTTGAACCAACAGCTTTGGATCTCATCAGTGCTTAGAAACCAGGCTGAAAGGACTGTTTATTATTATTATTACTATCAATAATAATAATAATTAGAATTTATAAAGGGCTTTAATGCTGTACAAAGAACTTTTCATATATTATCTCATTTATTTCTCTGTGTGAGGTGCGGGTGGGGAGTGTAGTGTGTGACCTCGTTTAATTCCTAGGCAGGAAGTTAGTTAGCTTTCCAGAGGGAGAAAAGGACTCTGTTCAGAGGATTTACCTCCTCTCTCTGCCTAGGTCTGAATTCTCCCAGAGGGCAGGAGGACATATTCCAAAGGTATTGAAGTAATGTATTCTCTGGGTACCAGCAGAGGAAGGAGGGAGCTGCAGGTAGGGGCCAGACCCCACCAAAAGGATGATTGGTCTACTCTGGAGTGTCTCTTTTTTCCATGTTCAGTGGTTTCTCCATGCCCCTTCCCCCAACCCATCCTCTCTTTCCATGTATGCCAGGTTCCCTGGGCCTGACCTTCCGCAGCCAGGTTGAGTTGGGCAAACTTGCTAAAGACACTCTTGGTTATGAAGTCCATGTGGCTGGTGGCCAGGCAGGAGTAGTTGCCCAGGTCAGAGGCATTTGTCCGGGCGATGTACAGGTTTCCCGTTGTCTGGGACACAAAGTGCCGCCCATCAGTTGGGATGAAATTGGGGAACTCATTGAGAAGCCATCGGTAGGACAGACCTGAGGTGGGGAGATAGGGAAGGAGTTGTGCCCCCCGAGCAGACGTAAGGGGCCTCTCTCTGGACATATGACATATAACACCTGGGTGGGGGAAGGGGTTATGAGGACAGGATTCATTTGGTTATACTCTTGGGTACTCAAAGAGAGACTGTATTCAACAATTCAATTCATTTTAACTGTTATACTTACTAGCTAGCCAGGAGCTGTTCTAGGTGCTGAAAACCATAGGTTCCTAGATTTAGATCTGGAAGGACCCTAGTGGTCATTTTGTCCCGAACCCTCATTTTAAAGATGAAGGAACTAAGGACCAGAGTGGGAAAGCGACTTGTCCAATTTCACTTAATAAGTAACAGACCATGATTGGAACCTAGCTCCTCTGATGTCAAATCCAGATTGTTTAATGTTGTCTCCAAAATATAAAACCAAAACAGACCTTGCCCTTAGAACACTCACATGACCAGCATAAGAAACAGTGAGAGCAAAGACACAGTGGTGGGAGACCACAGTGTGTGTTGGATAATGGTATAAAATAAAGGAAATGAATAAGCATTTATTAAATGCCTACTATGTGCCAGGTATTCTGCTAACTGTTTTACAGATATTATCTCACTTGACCCTCACAACAATCCTAGGATATAGGTGCTATTATTAGCCTCATTTTACAGTTGAGGAAACTGAGGCAAACAGAAATTAAGTGACTCAGGTCATCCTGATTCTAGGCCCAGCCTTCATCTATTTACTTCCTGCTACAATGAGTCCCAAGTGGGTAAGAAGGATTACTGACTAGGTCTCAAGAAGGCATCTTAGAGGAGGTAGCATTTGAATATCATGCAAAGGATCTATTCAATGGGCAAAGAGGGAAGGGAGAATACTCTGGGCAGAGGGGACCGAATGAGCAAAGGCTGAGAGGGGGAAAACCACAGTACGCCAGGTGGTGGTGGTGGTGGTGGTGGCAGCAGTGATGGTGGCAGTGGCGGCAGAGGTGGTGGTGGTGGTAATGCAGAAAGTGGCCAGGTTTGGCTAGAGTATAGAGTTTGTGGAGGGAAGTAATGAGGGATGAGAATGGAAGGGTAGGGTAACACTCAATTATAGAAGGTCAGTTCATGGAGAAGACAGTGATTGATAATTATAATAGCTGACATTTGTATGTGCTTTTCATATATTGTCTTATTTGATCCTCACAACAACCTTGTGATAGGTGCTATCAGCCCCATTTTACAGATGCAGGCTTAGAGGGGATTAAGGGTCTGAGGCAGGATTCAAACCCAGGTTTCCCTTACTCTAAGTCCAGAAATTTACCCACTGTACCACATCATGAGACACTAGAATTGCAGGTACCTGGAACTATGCTCCCAAGGGGAAAGCCTGAGCCTCTACCACTTCTTTCCTCCTCCTCCAACACGCTGTCTTTCCAAGGATGTCAACCATTGCACTAGGGTTTCAACAACGTATCTGGTTTGTTCTTTGTCTCAAGCCTGAATGACCAGATGACTCACCTGGGTAGTGGGCAGGTGGGTTGCAGGGCAACATCACCCCCAAGCCCTCATGGGTTTTCACAGGATCTCTTTCCTCCTTGGAGAATTCCTGCAAAACTACAAAGCAACAACAGGGGGTTCATTGCCATCTTCCACTGGCCCAGACCTCAAGGTCTCTGACTTAGGTAATTAGTCTCTGTCATCGCCCTTAAAATGGAAGGCTGTGGGGTATAGTAAAAAAAAAATACTGTTATTTATTATTTTCAAATATTTATTTCATTAAATATTTCCCAATTGCATGTAAATATTTTTAAGTGTTCATTTTTTTTAATTGAGTTTCAGGGGCAGCTAGGTGGCGCAGTAGATAGAGCACCAGCCCTGGAGTCAGGAGGACCTGAGTTCAAATCTGACCTCAGACACGTGACACTCACTAGCTGTGTGACTCTGGGCAAGTTACTTAACCTCAATTGCCTCACATTAAAAAAAATTGAGTTTCAAATTCAAGATGCTGTTATTTAGAGTCAGAGGGCTTGAGTAGAAATCCTAGCTTTGTCACCACCTATGTGACACTGAATAATTTTGGTCCCTCTTTATTTTTCCCTTTCACGGCTTTTCAGAGAAAAAGATACTAATTTATATGAACTAAAGTGTTAGTGACTTAATATTTTACTCTTTCCAGGAGATAGACTGACCTCATTCCCCACTTGGTGAGAATTAGTAGAGAGAAGAATGCTCACTGTGCCTCAAGCTAGTTTAGACTTGAACCCCATTCTGGGTTTTCTTACCTATAGATGCACAAAGGGAAAGGGAGAAGAATTTGCCTAGATTGGGCATCGAAAAGAAGCCAATGCTTAACCCCAAGGACACAATCATACTTAATAACAGCTAGCTTATATATAACACTTTTAAGGTTTACAAATATCTTTACATATATTATCTCATTTTATCCTCATAACAATCTTGTTATAGGTACTATTATTATCCCCATTTTACAGATGAGGAAACTGGTGCTGAGAGAGGTTTATCGACTTGCTCAGGATCATACATCTAGCCTCAGAGTCAAGATTTAAACACGGCTCTTCTGATTCCAAGTTGGATTGTTCTATTCCCCTCAAGTTGATATTTGGGGGTAGTTGGCCTTTACTTCATACCCTATGGAACTGATTCTATCAACAAATAAGGCTGATCCTAATGAGCACAACCCATCCCAAAGCAGTGCCATGCCCACATCACTTCTCTGAGTGCGTAGTCTCCCCACTCTGCCTTCAATCTACAAGACTTACAGCCAAAGCGGAGCACAGCCTCTCTGCTGACCACGGTGCCCACTGGGTTAGAGGCCAGGCACTGGTACACACCAGCATCCCTGGCCTTGGTGGGATTCATGATGACCAGGTTGCCTCCAACCAGCTGGTAGTGAGGATCCTGCTCCAGCTTCATCTCAGTGCCATTCATCTTCCATCTGTTGAGAATGGAGAAGAGAAGGGATGGCTATTTAGTTCTGAGCCAGGGGTCATTTTGGCTTCAGGGAACAGGATGGTTCTGGAGTCATCTCCAAAGGGCTCTGTGACTCGGACTTAGATCAACTCTCATGCATGGTTTGGGATTGGCTTTAAAGGGGAGAATGTGCCCCTTGCCCAGATCTAACCTTGACTGAAGCCCAAGAATAGGGTGTCTCACCTGTATGTGGCTGGAGGGCTCGCCCGGGCACGGCAGGCCAGGGCTATCTTCTCTTCTGATGACTCCTCAGGGAACAAAGAGCTGACAGGCTGGTCCTCAAAGACAGGCCCAAAGATGGCAGGAGAGCCCTGGGCTGGATTCCAAGCTGGAAATGTGGAATAGTAATCACAGAGACTTAGGAGTGGAGCCAAAATTCATTTCTGTGGATGAGGTTAACCTGGTCTGAGAGAGGCAGATTTTGGTTCCCCCTAAAGAACAGCTTTGTGGCAAGTGGAGCTGTCTAAAAGAATGAGCTGCTCCTGGATCCCTGGAGATTTTCTGTAGAACCACTTGTCAGGGATCATAGGATCACTGATCTTGAGTGGCCTTTAGAGACCAACCCGCTCCTTCCAAAGATAAGGAAACTGAGATCCAAGGAAGTAAGTGACTTGTCCAGGGTCATGTAGACAATAAACATTAAAGGAGGAATCCAACCCACAGTTTGTATTGTTTCCATTCTAATAAAGATAGAAGGGATTCCTGTTCAGATACAGTTTAGGCAAAACATTCTGTGAGATTCCTCTCTCTCTCTCTCTCTCTCTCTCTCTCTCTCTCTCTCTCTGTGACAGAGAAAATAGAGAGATGGAGACAGAGAGAGACAGAGGAAGATAGAGAAAGAGAGACAAAAAGAGACAAAGAGACAGTATCTGTAGGGGAAGAAGCAGGATTTTGGACTTTGGGTAGGCAGATTTCTGAGCGTGAAATGAAATCATCATGTAAACACTAGTGATAATAGCTTACACACACATACACACACACAAAGAGATCAATTCACAGTTACAAAAGCACTTTTCCCACTTGAATCTTATAACTATCTATCGTTTAATAGCATAAGTATTTCCTGTTCCCATTTTACAAATGAGGAAATTGACTAGTTAAGTCAGAGTAGTTAAGCCCTCAAAATCACACAGCTAGCAAGGCCTAAAACTCAAATCATAGTATCACAGAATCTCAGAGTCTGAATGGGCTAATCCATTCTGCTAATCCAGCCCCTCCCTAAACAAGCACCCCTCTGCAACCTAGCTGTCAGGTGGCCAGCCAGCCTCTGCTGGAAGAGCCCGACACTGAGGGGAAGCCTACTCCTGCCTCTTGGGCAGTGCATTCTGTCTTCGAATGGCTCAGATTGTTATTGAGGTTTCCCTTACATCGTATCTTCTTGTCTCTTTGTAACTTCTACCCATTCCTACTCCTTTCTTCTACTCTGTGTGTCCAAGCAGATTAAGCTTAAGCCTTATTCCATGTGACAAACTTTCAAATACTTGACGAGGGTTATTGGGTCCCCATAAATCTTTTCTTTTCCAATCCCAAAAGGACTTTAGGATCATGAATAACTAAATACTGAGTTATAGATCTGCTAACAGTTAGCTACATGACTATGGACAAAATTCAAGTCGAGTCAACAAACATTGATTAAGTACCTACTCTGTGAATTTTTTACACTGATGAAATTACAGGTTTGGACCACAAAAAAAGTTTGAGTCAGGTACTGTGCTAGGTACACAATACAAAAATTATATATTCTCTATCTTTTTTTAGTGAGGCAATTAGGGTTAAGTGACTTGCCCAAGGTCACACAGCTAGTACCTGGGAAGTGTTGGATCTGAGGCCGGATTTGAACTCAGGTCCTCCTGACCTCAGGGCCAGTGCTCTATCCACTTTGCCACCTAGCTGCCCCAAATATTCTCTATCTTTAAGGAGCTTATATTCTAGTGTGTGGGGGTGTTACATCATGTACAACAGTAAATAAAAAGTGATTCCAAGAGGAAGAGACATGGGAGATCAGTTAATTGCTAACATTTATGTAGTGCCTATTATGTGCTAAGTGCTTTACAATTATTTCATTTGATCCTCACAACAACCCTGAGAGGTGGGTGCCTTTATGGCTTCATTTTATATTTGGGAAAACTGAGGCAAACAGAGGTTAAGTGACTCGCTTAGGGTCACACAGCTAGTAAGTGTCAAGGTCAGATTCAAACTCTGGTCTTCCTGACTCCAGGCCCAGTGCTCTATCCACTGAGCCATCTAGCTGCCAGTAAACATCTATTCTAGGAGGTGTCACTTGAGCTGCCCTTAGAAGGAAGCTAAGGATTCTACAAGAAGATGAGGAGAGAGTGCCTTCTGAAAAGACATGCCCCTTCCCCCTCCCCCCCTCCCCAAGGGATGTTGGTTGGGCACTGGGAAAAGCTAACAGGCTATCAAGGAAGCATCTGGGTCAGTGCTGGTCCTGGAGTCAGAAAGACTTGAATTCAAATGTGTCCACAGAGACTTACTAGCTGTGTGACCCTGGACAAGTTACTTAACTTCGATCTGCTTCAGTTTCCCTAATTGTTAAATGGGTATAATAATCATATATCTATCTACCTCAAAGGATCAGAAGATCAGAAGATCAAATGAGATAACATTTGTAAAGCACTTTAGCACAGTTCCTGGCACATAGTAGGTGCTATATAAATGTTTATATCCTTCTCTTCCTCCTCTCCCTCCTCTTTGACTGTAACAGAGTGCATGGTGGAGGGGAAGGCAGGACAGTATGGGCTGCTGAACATAGCATTAGAAAGACTCACGTCTTCTCTTGTATACTTCCTAGCTAAGTGACCCTGGATAAGTTGCTTAAGATCTCTGTGAGATTAAACAAGAGGGTTGGACTTGATGGTCTCTAAAGTTCTGTCTAACTCTAAATCTATGATCTTGTGAATAACATAAGACTAGGAAGGTGGGTAGAAGCCAGTCTTAAATGCTAGGTTGAAGATTTGTGTTTTAAAAATTATTTAATCTCTCCGGGCCTCAATTTCCTCTTTGCTCAAATGAGAGAGTTGTACTAGGGCAATCAAAAATAAAATTCACCTGGTCCATAGATTTTTCACTCTGACCAAGTTTGGAAGGTGAAATGGAATGGTGTAGGGAATAGAGATGACCTTAAAATGGGAAACAGGAAGACCTGGGTTCATATCCTACTCCTAGCACATACTATCTGTGTGGCCCTTAGCAAATCACTTACGTCAATCTCCCCTAGAATGGAGGGCCACTAAACCCTGCTTAAGGATCACCTCTGGCTGCATATTGACTTAGAAAACTACATATTAACATTATCTATATTCTATGATATTTTTATTTATCTTGTTAAACATTTCCCAATGACATTTTAATCTGGTTTAGGCCACACAGAGAGTGTTGTGACTGTCTAACACCTCTGTCCCACTGGCTTCACTCTTTTTTTTAAAACTTTTTCATTTAACAGATAAAAGGAATGCTCTGCAGGCCTGACTCTCCAACATCACTTCCCTTTCTCCTCCCTCTCCCTGCCCTGCTCCACCCCCCCAGTCTCTCATTGACTCTTTTTCTGATTCCAAGTCCACTGCTTGTTCTCTCCATGGCCATGAATAGATGGGATATTTGCAAAATGAGAGTCAGTTTCCCAGCGCTAGTATAGCTCTGGTCTTCACCAGTCAGGAAGACGTGAGTTCCAATCCTGCTTCAGACCAGGGCAAGTCACTGAACCTTTGTCTGCCTCAGTTTCCTTATCAGTAAAATAGGGACAAAGTTATTGTGAGGCTCAAATGAGGTAATAGATGGAAAGTGCTTTGTAAGCCTTTAAGAACTGAGAAGCTGAAGAATTGACTCTTTCGAATTGTGGTGCTGGAGAAGACTTTTGAGAGTCCCTTAGACAGCAAGCAGATCAAATCAGTCAATACTTAAAGAAATTAATTCAAGCTATTAATTGGAAGGTCACATAGAGAAGCTGAAGCTTAAATACTTTGGCCACGTAATGAGATGACAGGACTCACTGAAAAAGACCCTGATGTTGAGAAAGATTGAAGGCAAAAAGGAAAATGGGATGAGATGGATAGATAGCGTCATGGAAACAATGAACATGAACCTGGACACATTGTGAGAGATAGTGGAAGATAGAAAACCCTGGTTTATGGGGTCACAAAGAGTCAGACATGATTGAACAAGAAGAGCTATATAAATGCAACTACAGCAACTATTATTATTAATAATAATAAGTCATTAAATGATGATAATAAATAATAATAAATTGCAGCTAAAAGAAAAGGTTCCTCATGGAATTGAGCAGGCAATGTGCTGAGATCAGGGAGAAGCCAGCTCAGAATCCAGGAGTCCTGTCTCTTCTATATCAGGGCTCTCTCCATTCTGTATTATTGTTGTTCGGTTGTTTCAGTTGTGTCGGACCCTTCATGACCCCTTACTCTGTATTTGTACCTTTCAAAAGCAGTCATTTGCCTTTCCAGCCATTGCTGGTCTTCCGTCAGTCTGGGCTGCCTCTCCCCCTCCCCCGCCCCACCATCATCAAGGGGAGAGGGGAGGTGGCCCCACTAATTGGCTCCCACCCCTCAGAGCAGCTGGTTTCAATGCCTCCTCGATGGCTGATGGGGGAAGGGGGATCCCTATTAACCAATTAATGCTCCCCCCATCCCAGGCCACATCCAGCTGTCAACCCAGCTCCAGGGGTGTGGGGCCAAGCTCCCCACTCTCTTGCAGCTGAGACCTAGCCCTGGTCCCTTGGGGACGAGGGGGGCAGCTGCTTAGCAGCTTTCAGAAGAGTCCCTGAAACTCCCTCCCCCAGTACTTGCTGGGCTGGAGAGCTGGGACACATGACTCAGTCTCCTGGGCTGGAGAGCACAGCTTAATCCCGAGTTAATGACCGTGGCCCAGGGCAGGGAAGAGGCTGCCCCAGGCCGGAGATGGGGAGGAATCAGGAGGGAAAGGGAGGTCTGTCAGACTGCTGAAAGCATCCTAGAATAATAACTACACTCTGTCTCCGAGGATCTGTGGGGGGGTCAATGGTTATTAATAGGGTTGGGCTGGGCTGGGGGAGGGGAGAGGAAGCATGGATGCTTCAGTTTTCTCTATGAGGTATCTTATTTGCATCCTCATGCACACTCACGTAATGGCACACACATCCAAGTGCACAGAAAACACTCACATGTACACACATTTGTATAAGCTGCACAATCCACTTTCACAGTTACTGTACACAAACACACTCATATGTACACACACATACATAGACACACAAACATGAATTTACTTTCAAATATTCATGAACAGTATGGATCTAGGATTTCATCAGTGCAGAAACTCCTTTCACCGACTCAGGCAGGTCACAAACCATTTACAAATGAGTAGGTAAATCTGAGAAGAGAGGCCATGTAGAAAGTAGACAGAGAGAGGACCTGAGAGCATGAAGACAAGTTCTGACGCCTACTGGGTGTGAGCCTGGGCAAGTCACTTAAACTCGCTGTGTCCCAGGCAGCTCTCTAAGACAATGAGTTGTGGAACAATTGCTAATCAGCATTACTAGAGGGGATTTCCTTGTTGGGAATCTTTTATATACCAATGAAATCATAGGTTTGGTCCACACACACAAACACACACACACACACATAGAGTCTTTGAAAGCTGCTGGAAGCTGGACAATGCAGTAGATAGGGCACTCCTGAACTTGGAGTTAGGAAGATCTGAGTTCAAATTGAGTCTCAGACACTGACTAGCTGTGTGACTCTGGGGAAGTCATTTCCCTTCTGCCTGTCTCAGTTTCCTCATTTGTAAAATAGGGACAATAATAATAGAATCTACCTGCCAGGGTTGTTGGGAAGGTGAAATGAAATAATATTTGTAAAAAGCTTTGCTAATCTTAACAAACTGACTAAAATAAATGTTGGCTCTTAGTATTATTACCACACACACGTCTACATACATACCTTCACATGCTTATGTATGTTCATATATATGCACATTTATATAAACACAGCGAAGTACCAATTAGTACAATTATATATATGTGTGTATTTATACATTTATACACACATACTTTTCTTCCCACATATACATAGTACAAGTAACTATACCTATTTACACATTCATATATACCCTTTGTTCTACTTACAACACATGTGGATACTCATACTCGTACACTTAAATACACAAAGCATGTTGTTCCTAAACTGCAGAGTCTTGGTGTGGTTTACTGTACTTGTCATCTGCTGTATCCTCCATTATGCCCCTCCCCATCCCAGCCTGTAACTCACCCACAGCTATACTTGGCAGCCTCCAACAGGTCTCCACCATGCTTATGTATAGATTGGAGCTCTCAGCCTCAACCGCAGTCAATGAAAGCTTCAGGGATGCTTGAGGCGGAAGCATGGGGAATCCACAGACGGGGACAAGTCCTTATTTATGACCTAGTCTATCTGGGAAGTGATACTGGGAGAACCCATGCAGGATTTCCATTCATCCTCCCCTCCTCCCACACACAGATCAGAGAAGACAGACAAGATTGCTGGAGCTGCCTTCCCTGGTAACACCCAAGGCTGTGAGATCGGGGAATGGCTGAAGGAAACAAGCAAGGATCACATACTTTCTGTGTCTCTAGGTCCAATGGGGGTCAATAGAGGGCCCTAGCAATGGAGGCATGACCTTGCAGGGTCCTCTTTCGTGGCTAAGTACCCTGAGATGCTCAGTTCCAAAGCCCTCCTATTGTCCCCATAGCCAAGGAGGCAGCCAAGGACTCCAGTGGTTCTCTCATGTCAGTCTATCCTGAAAGTCTTTGACAGCCCCCTCCATTCCTTCCTAGGGGAAGCTCCTTCTTCCCAGCTGAGCCTTGAGCTGGTTAGAATTCAAGGGCAGGATTTAGAGCCCACTTACCAGCCCTAGCTGGTCCCCACCCTAGCTGCTTTTGAGTTAGGAAGCAGAGGAAGATGGGGGGAAGCTGACAACTCCTAAAGATTTGGGTCACTCGCTTTCCTTTCCCAACTGACTAACTCTAGCTCCTGAACTTGTCTGGGGCATGTGTAAAAGAAATGAGATATTCAGAAAACATGGCAATCAGTTTCCCTCTGAGGAAAGAAAGTAGGTGGGTACAGAGCCGTAACTGCCAAGATACATAACCTAGACTGGGGAGGGGTCAGAGACCTCCACCCTAGAGTGGGGGAGGAGGAACTAGGGATTGGGGGATCATAGGAGTTGAAGAATATTTGCCACCTCCCTCCTTTTCTTTTTACTGGAGGAGTCCTGGTCCACCTTTGCAATGTAGGCAAGGACTGTCTCTAACTTCCTGAAGGAGAATGTGATTTTATACTGTGTCTGTTAGGGGTACCTTGGCTTATGTCTCTCAAGAAGGCCTTCCTTCTCCTTTAGGTTCAGAGACAAGGCACCTTACCTTCCATGTCTCATCTTAGGGCAACTTGCCACCAGAGCTCAGATAATTTTGAACACTCTCTTTTGTTCCAGGTAGAACACTCTATATCTATTATTTTCCTTCCTGGGTTCCTTTCCCTATGCTTATGATTCTTACACAGTCTTGGATTAAAAAATTTATCCTCTATAGCTTAGACAGTTCATTCTCCAGCTATCTCTCTGCTTTTCTGAAACTCAGATGTTCACATTTCCACACATTCTCCCTATTTATCAAGATGGGAACGTTGTCCTCAAGGACTAAAATTCTGCCTGTACCCCCAATCTTTTGGATTTTAGCAGCTTTTTGTTTTTGTTCATTTGCTCCTGGTCTACCCATCTCCCCCACCCCCACCCCTCCAAGTTGGGACACAGTAAATTCTAATGGATAGGGCTGCAAATCAGGAAGTCTAGATTCTAACCTTTGAAGTGGGTTACTTAACCTCTAAGGTTAAATCACTTAACCTTCTTAGGTTTCAAGCTCCCCATCTATACTAAAAGGGAGAAAATCCTCACTCCTTATCTCATAGAGAAGACGAAAGAAAGGTGCTACAGAACTGCAAATTTAGACAGCTAATATCATCATTATTGTTATTATTGATGGTACCTTCATTCTGAGCAGAGATGAAATCTCTTACCTGAAAAAGAGAGCATGGCTAAGGATGCCATCAGCAACTGCTCAGGGATCCCCATTGCCAGTCTTAGAACGAGGGAGCTGGAGTCTGGAGTGTGAAATCCTTAGCCAAGGAGAGAAGAGGTGTTGGGACCAGAAGAGGAGAAGGACCTGGGAGAAAGGGGAAAAACAAACAGAGATGAATAATGAGTCAGGGAGCTGCTGTTGCCTTTCCACTCACTGGCTAGTGCCCACAGCCCCTCCTAGCCCCTCTTACTGGTTGAGAATGGGAAATTGGGGAGGGGGTTAGGAGGGAGAAATAGCTTCATTAATGCTTTCCATTCAGAGCAGGGGGAGAAAACAGTCATCACAGAAGCACTAAGCCTCCCTGGGAGTCTCAAGGGAAAGTGCTTGGGCTATTACCAAGTAGCTCTTTCCTGGACTGAGTGCCTCAGTACAAGTCCCCTGGGTGTCTGGGCCCTCCCCCACCTCCTCCTTCTCTCCCTCTCTTCCCCTTTTCCCCCCACCTCTCTGTTCCCTCTTCCCTGTCTCTCTTTCCCAAGGCAGGGGATGATCACTCTCCTAAATTCCACTGAGTAGCTGTCTGATCATGAAATCTATAGGAGTGGTTCACCTGGAGAAAGGTGAACCCTCTCCCTTGCACCCTTGGGGAGAAGGGGATTCACACCTGTGTATAAGGAAAGAGTCCCATTCAGTTGCAGACTTCCTCTGAGACAGTGTCCCAGACCTCAGTTTCTCCCTAACACTAAGACCGCACTGGAGAGCTGCATTAATGCTTTCAGGCCCAAGGTTAATACAGGCTTTGTTTTTCTTGTAGTGGGGATGGTTGCATCAAACCATTCACATCTTCTCACCCAGGAATCATTCTCATCCCCTGAGCCAGGTCCTCTTATGTCCAACAGCAACATTTGTGAGACGCCTGCCTCACCTGGCCCCTTATGACTAACAGTGCACATTTGTGAGACAGTTGTCTGCAGAGCCAGCCCTCTTGTGACCAACATCACACATCTGTGAGACTTTGCCCTCTTGTACCTACCTGTGTAGGTAGTGTAAGGCAGCTAGCTGCCTGAAGCTAAGGATGAGCTTTTTGTGGGCTCCAAGAAGCTAACTAACTGTCCTCCACAGAAATCAAACCTGTAACCTCTGTCTCATTTGTACCACTTTCTCACTAGCTGAACAGAAGGAGTGAATGCTGAGCTCAGAGGATCTTGACAGAACCTAGGAAGAGTTTAAGGCCAAAGGCGCCTCATTGCCAGTAGCTGCTGAGAGACTCTTTACTGATGATGTTAAATTCTGGAACAAAGGACACATTTCTCAAGGTAGGGGATGCTGAAGATCAGAATCTTCTGCCCATAAGCCAGGCTTTGACTTGAACATAATGAAGGGGGAGCCATGGGACTCAACATTCTGTCTCTTTCTACACCTTTGGGAAGAATCTGGACTCCTAGGAGTCAAGGTGACAAGCTTGGGGTCCCCCTAGCACTGCCCTCTTGAAGAAGCCACTCTTCCTGATCTGGGCTTTTGGGTTTAGAGAACGCCTAGGCCATTGAAAATCCACATTAAATCCCATATTGGAATTTTAACTAATCCCAGACCCCATCCCATCCCAGATGTTCTCATGACGAGTATCATGAACAGGTCTGAGTTTCCCCATCTTCTATGCCTTGCCGGACTTCCTCAGGGGATGCTGATAAGCAAAGGGAGAGTAGTTAAAACACCAGAGTAGTAGTCCTGGTTCTGTGGTAAATTAGCTCAATTCCCTGAGCAGGTTTTTTGCTTTTTTTTTTTTTTTTTAACTACTCTAGGCATCAGTTTCTTTCTCTTAAAATGAAGGAGTTGGAAATTCTCTAAGGTCCTTTCCAGCTCTGCCACTCTATGAATCAGAGCAGGAGGAAGGACAGTGACAGTAAAGTTATCTAGAAAATACTAGGCACTTGGATAAATAAGAATTGATCACTGATGAGTCCTAGAGGCTCACTCCACTTAGGGTCAGGTGAGGGAGGTCCCTGAAGAGGAAGGCAATTTCAGTGTTTACTTCCAGGAAAATTCATTTTTCTCTGCTCTTTTTCTAGGTGACCCTTGGAGGAGGCACACATTCAACCTCCATTATTCCAACTCCCATAGACCCTTTGACTATTTCCTCAGCATCTGCAGCCCCAGCTGCAACCTGGTGGATGGAACCTTGGGGGAAGCCTGGGGCTGGCAGGAAGAATGTTAAAAGGAAGGGGGCTGGGAGGAGCTGAGAAGGAGGCCTGGTGGGGGAGATAGGGTTGTTACACAGAGCAGATGGGAGCTCCCAGCTTCCACCTTGTCAAGAGCCATCCAGATGTTCCTCCCACCTCCCTCAGTTTACCAGTAAAGAAATATCCCAGGCAGGAAGGTAGATAAGCATATATAGCTGAGATCCCTACACGTCTTCATCAAATTTTCCTTATTCTCTAACAATCCTGAGCCTCGAATTGAATCCTCAAATATTAGTGCTAGAAGGGAGCTTAGGGATCACCTGGTCTAAATTCCTTCATTTTTACAAATGGGGAGACTGAGGCCTGAAGAGGGGGATGATTTGGCCAAGGTCATACAGTAAGTTAGCATACTTGAACCCTCAGTCTTTCCTGCCAGCAATCTCTACTTGGCCCTTTGGGTGATATTACCTGGATTTCCTCACTGAGATTAAGGGAGGAAGCAATTCTGTTTTTCACTTAGGTTAGGAGAGGTGGAGAAATCTAGCAGGGGTGGGGGTAGGGTAGGGTAGTATGCAATGCCTGACCCAACAGACATGGGGTTCAAGACTTGTAGAGTAAGGAACACCTGACAAGACCTGGGACACCTCCTTCCCCACCTGGTTTATTTCTTTATAAGCAGCCCTAGACCATCCCAGAAGGTGATTTTGGGATACAATATCCAGGCCTAGGTATTAGATACAAGATTACATGTACCTCCCTCCATACGCCCTCACAATTTCATTCCCACGTGAACACATGTACACTAGGATTATAAATACCAACAGCCCTCCATCATCTAGCTCCAGCCTACCTTTCTAGGCACACTGTACACTACTCTCCTTCAGGGATCCTATAGTTGCCGCCAAATTAGCTTAGTTGATATTTCCTGTATATGACATTCCACCTCCAGTCTCTATGCCTTTGCATTGGCTGTATCTCCTGCCTGGAATGCCCTCCCTCCTAACTTCTGCATCTTAGAATGCCTAACTTCTTTAAGTCTTGGTTCAAGTGACTTTTCTGCATGACATTTATCCTGATCCCCTCAGCTGTTAGTGCCTTTCCTTCATTTACAATGATTTTATATTGACTTTGTATATATTTTACATTTCTCTATGCCTATGTTGTTTCTCCCCTAAGCTCCTTCAGGTCTGATACTGTTTGGTTTCTGTCTTTGAATCCACAGTGGCTAATATAGTGCCTGGTAGGCATATAGTCAGCACTTTAGAAAAAAAGTTTGTTTAATGTTATGTGTTCTTGGGGGGGGGTCAATGGAAATGGGGACAGTTGAAAGGTTTGGGCCCTCTGCAGAGCTTTCTGGCCCAGCATGCCCAGTAAATAAGTGGTTTGCTGTGGACAAAATTTCCAGGGAAAATCTTGGCTTGAACAGTCAGGCCATCTGCAGAGGAGCAACCCATGCCTGGAGATGATGTCACCAAAACAATGGCCAGCTTGCCCAGGGGCCCAGCTGGTGGCCTTACAAATGGTTCATGTGTTTAAGGAGCCAGCAGCACCATCTTCCTACCAGCCTCCCCACTCTAGTCTGAAGAGGTGAGCAGAAGCAGGAAACCTGATTTTATTTCCCCTTTTCATTACCAATACAATCACCTGAATATCATCTACTTCCATGAATAATTATGACAATCATAATAATAGCTAACATTTATGTAGAGCTTTAAGCTTTGCAGGTACTTTACATACATTATCTCACTTGATCAACAAATTATTAGGGCTCCTGAGTAATCCAAACTCAAGGATCATCTCCAAAGTTCATTTAATCAAGGACTATCACACTATCATACACATTCACAAGAATTTAAAAAATTTGCAAAGTACTTTTCTCACAACTACCCTGCAAAGTAGGTAGGATAATAATACATAGTATTTATTATATAAACACTTTTAAGTCTTGTGAAGCACTTTACAAACATTTCATTTTATCCTTACAAGTACCCTGGGATGTGGATTCTATTCTTATCTTCATTTTACAGATGAGGAAACTGAGGCAAAGAGGTAAAATGATTTGCTTATCGTCACTTAGCCACCTAGCTGCTTTAGCTAGGTAAGTGAATAAGGTACTGAACTTGGAGTCAGGAAGAGATCTAAGTTTGAATGCTATCCCCATTCTTTTTTTTTTTTTTTTGAGGCAGTCTTTGACTTGCTCAGGGTCACATAGCTAGTAAGTGTCTGAGGCCAGATTTGAACTCAGGATTTGAACAGTTCCTATGAAATTGACCAGCATTTATCTAGGGTTGTTCTCTGTGGCACAATGAGAATCTCCTAGACCACAGACCCGGGAAGGTAGGTACTAAGCGTCAGGCAGGGATTGAAAGGGATGGGGTAGGAGATGAGGATGGGAAGCAGGAAAGAGAGCTGGAGACATCAATGCCTTACTTCACTGGGATAATCAGGGCCTGAGATTTACCCAGCTGTATAAATCATCAGTCTCCTAAGGTGCTATTCAGTCAATAAACAGGTATTTTTGTTTATCTTACCCAGCATGCTCACCCCCTAACAGCCCCCCAACCCCACCCCAATACACACAGACATATTCTCAGCTGAAGTCTGAGTTAATAACAACCTGGAACCACTTTTGCACCTTTTTTAAAAAAAATTTCTTGGTGACTTTTTTTTTAACATCATAACTCATTTGTAAGTCCCTGTTCCACGCTCCTCTATCCACAAAGCTTTCCCTTGTAACCACGAAAGTGCATAGGGTGGGACCAGTTATGCCTGGGTGTGTTGGCACACTGGGCTCATGCTCTATTTGTGTCTATGCTTGTAAAAAAGATATGAAAAGAAAGAAAATTGTTCAGCAAAATCAGTCTGCGTGTTGACTGCCTCTGACAATATATGCAGTATTCCATATCCGTAGTCACCCACCTCTCTGATAGAAGCAGAGAGCCTGCCCAGGTTTTTGCTGCCACCTGG